CATATTTGAATGTAATTTTTAATTCTAATCAACTTTTCTTCATGAAAATTTTCGATTTTGTACTTTACTCTTGAGCAAAATTCATATTTTTTGACAAACCTCGTATACGGCTTGAAAAATTTGATAGCTGATGACTGTATTTTAAGTTTTGGGTCATACAGGACTTTTTATCAAGAATAACTTTTTTTCCTAAAATCAATAATAACATTTTTTCCATATGGTTCCAACTTAAGTAGACGCGCTGTATAATATAATTATATATCTTTGACTTTCGTTCGTCGATTTTTATCTCCAATTAATAGTGGCAAAAGAAATTTAAAAAAAAAAGTAGGCACAATTAACCTTTTTTTAAAATTAATTTTGTTTTTATTTTCAAAAATGCATATTGACTCCTATTTTAAGATTTAATTTTCAATCGCGTATCTTTTAAATCCTTTCCATAAGACCTAAGCATCATATACTTTATCGGAATCAGCTCGTTAAGAATAGTCTAAAAATGTCAGTAAATACAGGGTATGCTATTAAAAAAATTGCCGATTATGTTATTTAATTAATCACCCTGTATAATGACTTTTTTGGTACTATGCAGAAAATTAAAATTATAAATCGGCGTGTTTCAGGTTTATTTTTAATTGTTATTGGTTTAGGAAATAATGAATTTATTCCATACTTTATGAACACACTGTATAACAGATACATTTCTAGAGCAATGTTGAGTAAGATGAAAAATATTATTTATAATTATTTTTGAGCAGAAGATTTGTACAAAAAAATAGTAGGTACTAGAACTGAGTTAATTATGTTTGTTACTTTTATATTTCCATTTAATAAAGATAAAAAACCACACAAAAAATATTTAGTATTAAAATAACATTTAGAATATACATCCCGCTTTTAATAAGTAAAATATACCTTTATCTCCGTCCTAATCATTGGTTTAACCATCGTCTGTTTTAGTATTTCCAATGTATTGTCCAAAATGTTCGCATGGGTACAAACACAGAAGTTCCTTAGTGAAACATTTGAAGTGGGAATGTGGCAGAGAAACGGGACTTTTCAAATGTCACATGTGTCCGTATTCGGCAAAACAAAAGAATAACTACTTGAGGCATTTAAAAACCGTGCATCAAATCACAGATAACAACCCTACAAAGGTTTATCAACATGCCAATATACTTTAGAAAAAATTGAAAAAATTTTTTTTAGTTTTATACATATTTATGTACTTAGTATTTTGTAACTATATCGCAAATTTTTTAGGGGTAGTAATAAACATTTTTTTGGTTAATAAACATATGCCCGAAAACGTTTCATTTCCGAAATACAAGGAATTTTACATAAAAATAATAACGCTCAGTAGATATTTGCAATTTTAATTATTGTTTTACATGAAGCAACTGAAAATACAACTTTTATGTCTCTTTATGTTTTTTCGTATCTCAGTCAGTTTTCGAGAAAACAATTAAAGTACAAACTTTTGCATGGTTTGAGCAACATTAAATATAACTCAAAATGAAACGATATTTTTTATTTTTAGTTGCTTTATCATAAATATTATAAATATTTCAAAAAATCTACCGGGTGTTATTCATTTAGAGTAAAAAGTAATAGGCTTGCCTCGTGGGAACGCCTATGGAAAATTTGGATACACGCTAATAGATCCAAAAGATACATCATTAGTCAAACTGAAAATTTTATTTAAATCGGTTACTTAGATCGTTTTTTAACTTATTGATTTAAAATAAATATATATTTTTAAACTTTAGCACCCTGTATATCGGAAACGAAGCGTTTTAGCACATAAAGAATTTTTTATTTTGATTTCTCCTACGACGCCTAAAAGTTTGGCGGTATAGTTAGGAAACACCCAGTATACCTACAGAATAGTTTGTTTTTTTTTTTCATTATTAAGACGTATCTATATTTTTTTGTAATTACTACTTTATATTAAAATAGATATATATTTTTTTTATTATTAATGGTTTCATTTTCCTAGCTTTTATTTCCCCATAATTTGCTCTTTCAATTGAGAGTTTGCTCTTTCACTTAATATTTGCTCTTTCACTTTTCTGTAGTCTTAAAAAAAATTATATTAAATTATTAGAACGCCTTTTAAGAAAACAAATAAGAAGTTGCATATTTAAAATTTCCAACTTTGAACATATACCATATTTTCGTATTCGATTGCTCGTCCGAGAAAATTGGCCACGCAATATGATCTTTCAGATGAAGTGGTTTACATAATTTTTCTTCAGATTAAGAATTTTTAATCATCTAAAATATTTTACTCCTACTTTTTAAGGATATAAAATTTTTTATTTAGTTTTCTTCAACATTTTTCTCTTTTTATTGAGTTTGCTCTTTCATTCTTATTTTAGATGCTCTAATATATTTATTTGCCCACAAAGTTACTCATCCAATTGAGTTTGTCCCAAGTTTCTACTATTTCAATCGGTACTGGAAAAAACTGATTCTGCTTCTTCAGTTTTAATTGGAGGATTTTTTTTTAGAATATACTCTTTCAACACAAACATTGAGCAACCGAATGAACATTTTATACAGGGTGTTATAGAAATACATGTAGATATTAAAGCAGTGTATTGTATTGACTCTCCTAGAATATGCAAAAATATTATGTATATTAAATATTATTAAAAAAAGTAGGTCACCTAAGGTCATCGACTCTGTATACCTTGTTTGCTAACCTGTCAATTTACCAATAGTCCGTACCTTTACTTGGGAACTCGTGCAGTCTCTAAGTGTCTACAATTATATGCAGTGGCGTAGCCATGGATGGCCTTCGCGCCACTGTTTCAGCCATCGCATTAACGCTGATCGTTATTAACTGTTTGTTTCTAGTCTCTTTTTTCATGGTTTTATAAAAAAATCTTTATTTTAATTTACTTTTGTGTTTAAAACGAACTTTAAAAAACGCGCGTTTTAAAGTTACCATGGCAACATCAACAACCCGAGAAACGTGATGTCTAAATACCAACTTTTTAAATATTGATCTGACAGGAGTGCCTTGTAACGTCAAATAAAATATTTCTGAAAAATTTTTCAAAAAATTTATTCAAATATTTTTTCACATTCTTAATTGTTTAAATGAATTTGGAAAGTACAGTTAGTATTGTTTGAAATATTAAAACTTCGGTTTTTTAAATCAGAGGAAATACTGTTCAAATTAAGATTGCTAATATTTTTGGAAGTCAATAAAGTTGTACTTCCATTAATAGCACTTCCAATAATATTTGAAACATTTTTCTTATTGCTAATGCTCTCTTCAACGTAACCAGTCGCCACAGCTGCCGATTCCCATCCTTCTTGTCGTTGGATTTGATCTATTGTCATGCCATAATGGTAGCGGTCGTACGTACTGGTCCGACATTTTCTGGAGATAAGCGAGAACAACTCGTTCATCTATATGTGTAACCATTTGCTCTTCCATCCACGTGTTGAATTTATCGTATTCTTTTTTATAAACCGCTTCGGATTTTTGTGGTATTAAGCGCGATTCTGCTTCATTATTTAAATACTCAATATTTGAACTCATTTTAAACAATAACAACTGTTGCGACAATTAATCTTACGTGACAGATTGAAAATACATTTTTGTTTGTCTCATTTTCATGACAACGAGGTATACTGATGTTACATCACTAATTCAACCATTTTAAGTTATTAGTTCTTATTTCCATTTTTTTGTAGAAATAATACGGATTTCAAAGTATACCAATAAAAAAAATAGCGTAAAGTATTCGTGGATAACTGGTCTTTAAAACACTTGCTCTATTTCGAGCACTCCATTATATCCATTTATACTTTAATATTTCCCTTTGTTGATGGCCCCATAGTTCCCATAAATGTATTTGGAATTTTAGAACATTTTACCTCCGAATTTCCCCAAAATTATTATTGAAATGATCAAATTATATTAAACGAACTTACGAACTCATAAATATCCAATGTCACAATCGGAATATTGTTCGATATCATAATCGAAATGTATTTATAAGGAATCTTATTAATAATCAAATTGTAACCTGACGACACAATCAGAAATATAATCCAATGTTATAATAAAATTGATATATTGTTCGATGTCATAATCGAAACGGTATACATAAGTAAATTAATTCACAATTAACTATCGTAGTAGGATATATTTATGTAGCTCGTTATTATCATTAAAGCAATACTGAGTTGATTCACACTTACAAATGATACTAAAAAAGAACGACAAAGTAAAAAGCTACGGCTACAGTGACGCTGTACTATAAAGATTATTTATGAGACGAGGCCGAAATATAATTAATTATTCTTGGCACACATTTGAATGAATTTCAAATAGGATAAAATTGTGAAATTAAATCATATAATGAAGTAAATCTTGTGCTAGATTTGTAAAAATATACTGAATTCATTACATATATACCGAAGCGGCAACACTGAAGAAACGATCGGTTTCGACATATACAGCAAAGCGAACCATGTGCGCAGTGTTGCTGTTTGGATAAAAATTTCCCATTTGAGTGGAACTTTAAAATTTCACATTTTTTATTTTAGAATGTGTCATTCGTTTCTGATATCATACACTCTTGTAAATGTAATTCAGTAACACTCTGTATATTCTTCACAAAAATGATTTGACATTCTTTGAATGGGGATTATTGTTTAGCTCTTTTGATTTGCTTCATGGTAGATGTCAACTGTACTTTTCTTAAGGGTTTACTGGTTTGTTTTTACCTTGCGGGTTTGGGGATACATTTATTAAGTTCGTATGGGGAATTTGGAAATATTTTTCTGACTTACCAAACATAGGTTTCTGATCTTACCGATATTTCACTACAAAGGAGTTTTTTTTTTTAATAAATAGTGATTTATTGTAAAATATATCATTAAGTGTACGTAGTTAATTTTTAAAGTCTATTTAATGTCCCGCATTGTTTGTATCAAAAACTTCATCCCTAGACATATTTCTTGACTATTGTTTGTTTTAGATGTTTGCGGAGTCATAAAACAGAACACCGTCGGCCATTACATGTGTCCTAGGTGCGGGAAAGTCTACAAACACAAAACGTCTGTCTACACCCATTTGAAGAACGACTGTGGAAAGCCGCCTCAGTATTTTTGCGACATTTGCGAATTTTCGAGCAGATTCGATCATGTCTTGCGACGACACATGATGTCAGCTTCGCACAAAAAACGCGCTTTCGCTCACAAAAATTTTGAGTCCCTAGATCGGGAATAAGACCACTGTATTTTGGTCACAAAGGGGGGCAAGGTGTATTAGTAAGCAAATTTTTTTTATAATAATGGTTTTTACTACAGTTAAGTTGTTAAAAAGTGGGGTAGTCAATTTTTTTTTCTAAAAGATAAAATATCAAATGAGGTTATGGATACTCCACCACTTAAAAAAATTGGACTTGATTTATCTCGATTACTATTAATTGGAGAAGAAAGTGTAACAACATAAATAAACTGTAGAGCTCAAAATTTACACTAATTTTCATCTTGGGTCGAACTTTCTGTAGTTAGAAGTTAGAAGATAGAGTGCGCCGAGATTACCCGTTCTGCGTTTTGTCTTTTCAAAAAGTGTTTTTAGCCAAAAGACTTGAAATGAAAAAGTTGTAAATGATAAAAGTCAGGTACAGGTACAGCATATTTGCAAATCATTTGGCTGTATCTTTGAATTCTTGGGTTGTACATTATATTTTAATTACTCGTTATTTAACTTGTCCTTTACAAATATGAATGAAATTCTCAAGTTCTCCAAAAAAATATTTAAAACTACATATTTTGGACGTGTTTGATATTTTTTTTATTTAAAATATTTGTGGACAACATTATTTCAACGACAAACGACAAACGTTAAACGACAAACGACAAACGACAAACGACAAACGACAAACGACAAACGACAAACGACAAACGACAAACGACAAACGACAAACGACAAACGACAAACGACAAACGACAAACGACAAACGACAAACGACAAACGACAAACGACAAACGACAAACGACAAACGACAAACGACAAACGACAAACGACAAACGACAAACGACAAACGACAAACGACAAACGACAAACGACAAACGACAAACGACAAACGACAAACGACAAACGACAAACGACAAACGACAAACGACAAACGACAAACGACAAACGACAAACGACAAACGACAAACGACAAACTACAAACTACAAACTACAAACGACCAACGACAAACGATAGACGACCAACGACGAACAACGAGCGACGAGCGACGAACAACAAACCACAGACAACAACCTCTGAAATAGGTGTACTGAAAAAAATGTATGCAATTGATTCCGGTATTTTTTTGGAAATAACCAGAGTTTCAAAAATGTATGAGTCACTTCCAGTTTTAAGAATATTCAAAACAATTTTATTATTTATTTATGAAAATATATTAGTTTCTATTTTCTAAGTAAACTAAAAATGACAAAAATTCCAAATATTATCCATATCTCAAAGTGGTCCGAAGTAGATTAAAGGTAAGTAAAAGGCTCAAAGTCTGTCGACCACATAAATTTATTAGGTTGGGTTGCAAGCGCTTTCGACCTAAAAGGTCATCATCAGGCAAAACATTTTTTGTAAGTGAGTAGGTAGGTAGGTACAATCTGCAATCTGTTATCCTAAATTATTATTGCAGATTGTACCTACCTACCTACTCACTTACAAAAAATTTTTTGCCTGATGATGACCTTTTAGGTCGAAAGCGCTTGCAACCCAACCTAATAAATTTATGTGGTCGACAGACTTTGAGCCTTTTACTTACCTCTAAAAATAACACATTTTTGTAACACAGCAATTGTAATGTCATTTATAAATTATTGTGATCTACAACGTTCCCATTTCAACTTTTTAATTAAAAACACTTTTTAAAAATCAAAATGAGGTAAAACTGATTTTTGGAAACTTGGGCGCCCCCTATCTTCTTAGGAACGAACTACAGAGAGTTTGGTCTTAGAACAAATATATTACAAATTTGGAGGTCTACATTTTTCGGTCCCATATTTTTTCGTACGACCAATAGGAATCAAAGCAGGTGGGAGTACGTTTAGAGTACATTTAGATCATTAGTAGCAACATCAAAAATTCATCCTGTCCCTATTTTTTCCTCAATTGATAGTTCGATGGTACTATTTAGAAATTTGACAAAAAACAAACAGACCAAAAAAAATATACAATCCACATTTACAAAATGTTTTTATTGTTTTATCACTTATTTCCCATGCTTCATAAAATAAATTTGCTTGAAAAGCTGTGTACATAAATATTTTTTTCATTATTATTTATTTTGTTTCTAGAAATAATATCTTTACTAGAAATTGAACCAACTTTATAAAAAAAAAACAGTTTTATTTTTAATAATTTGGATATTGAATATTTTTTTTAATAATTATGACTTTATCGATATTTATTTTTAAAACTTTTATGTCATGTATTCATAAAAAATGCAAAACCAGTGTATAGTTTTTAATAAAATACAAATATATTTAAAAATTTGTTTCATTTAGTATACGAAGAGTGACTGATCGTTCTGCAGACAAATGAAAAGAGCGACTCTCTCTATTGTTAACATCGTAAAGTTTGTTGTCCAGTATTGCCAGATTGGTCTACTTTTAGCTAATTGATTGTCTTAAAACTAAAACAACGATTAGTCATAGAGAAGCAGCTACATGCTACTAATTTAGGCTACCAATTTGGGCTACGAATTAAAAACTAATATCGCCTGCGGCTGATTGGCAATAGCTTCGAGTATGTGTTGTTTATCTACCACAGATAATGTATTATCTACTTTTTTCGAATTGTCAAAGATTTCTGTCATATTTTAATAGCGTAATCTACATCCTAAAATAGGAGTAAAAGTTCATATAAACATAGGTCCGAAAACGATTCGTTTTCGAGATACAGGGTGTTACAAGTGAAGTCCTGATGGCACATTTTTGTAATTATTTTCTAAAATTTCTTTAGTCACCGGTTTTCCAAAGTTAAAAAAAAATTAAATTTCTAATTTCACCGGCCTACTAATTATTGTTTTCACTTTCGAATAAGATAACATCAACTTATCTTGAAATTTTCAAATGCTTTCCTCTTGAAAATGGTGCGTTCTAGCGAGATGCAACAAAAGTAGCTTTATTATAAAGCAAACATTGGTTTTCCAAATTTTATAGTCAAAAATGTTAAAAACTGTCAACAAAAAAAAACGTTTACCCTTTTTACCCTAATCCCCCCCTAATTTACCCACCTATGAAGATGATCAAAAACTGGGGTTTAGTCCATTAAATAGAGCGTAAAAAGTTAAGCATTTGTACTAAATTTCACTTAGTTATCTTTAAACGTTTAGAAAATATGTACAAAACTGTGTCATCAGGACTTCACTTTTAACACCCTGTATCTCGGGAAAGAAACGTTTTTGGACCTATGTTTATATAAACTTTTACTCCTATTTTAGGATGTAGATTACGCTGTTAAAATATGACCCCCTAATTTCGGGACACCCTGTATATGCATACGTTTTATTTATCATTTGCCTTGAAGTTTTAACATACAATTGTTATTCGTTTAAATTCGACATTTTTTTGTAGAAAAAATTGTGTGCATTTTCTTATAATTCTGAGATCAATGTACCTATTCGTGTAAAATGTCTCTATTCTGATACAGTGCTTTAAATTTCCCGGCAAAGGGACCATGAATAATTTGATCTTATTTTAATTTTATTTTGGGCTCAACCTACTTGGATATTAGACCTTACGTTGAAATTAAACAATTCAATATTTATCTACAGATAACGATTCAGTGTATTGAAGATTGAAATAACATGTTAAAGTTTTGTCTAAAAACAATATGAGGTCAGGATATTTTAAGCTATTTTCTTTGCTACTTTGGACGAATTTGGCAACTTTGTTTTTCCGTGGGTCACGTTCAAAGTGGATCATGCATCTGTGCCCCGCCGCAAATATGTTCATGTGTTCAAGGAGAGCAGAGTGTCAATGTAAAATTTCTTGAAACTCGGAAAGTGCACCACAGAACGTTTACTTCTATTCAGAAAGAAATGTATTCCAGGTAAGTTCACTTGACAATTGCCCACTTGATTTATATTTAAATAAAAACAGACACAAACATTGAAAAGATCGTTGCATTGGTGCTGAAAAAAAGTATTTTGGCTGTTGCTGAATCCGTATGATAAAAAAAAGTGTTAGGCAGATTGTAACAAACCAAAATGGTGGTTTATTCATTAGGACAACGTTGTACCAATATTATAGATTCAATACCAGTATCGATACTTTTATTTTGAGCAGTCAAAATTTTGTATCGATACCAGTTTTCTCTTGATATTATCCCATCATCGATACTGTTCTTTCTATACTCAATGTATCTACAACCAAGAGGAGAAAACAAAAAATGTAATGTTACATTTACAATGTTATATGTGTTTGGAACTATCAAATGTCGTGGCTCTTGGGTTGACTGGTGATTTTATTCGTTTACTTTAGATTTTATATGGTAGGAAATTAGGGAACACCGGAGGAAAAATTTTAATTACTTCTTAGCATGTGCTTGTAAATATGTTCAAAGTTTCCAGGGTTTTTTGTTAGAATAAATAGGAAGTTACTTTGATTAAACCATCGCTTGCCAACTCACCATTAGCCTGTGTATGGATAAGAAAGATACTGATGCAGATCATACTTGCAAGAAATTAAATATGGTTCATCCTGTGTTCAGCACTAATAGGATTTATCGAGTCCTCCAGCAAATCCTATAATATATCTTCAAACGTTACCCAATCATGAATTAGAATGTAACATAATTTTTAACATTTTTAAAATAAATCAAACCAAAGAAAACTACTGGTCCTGTTCCTGTTCCCACGTTTATGACACAGTTTGAAGAATATAATATATAATATACATAGATTTAGAAGGTGCTTTTGATACAACCACCTTTTTTAAGACAATACACTTAATAACCAACAGGGATATTACACAAATTAATGGTTAGTGGGTGTAGAAGATGTGAATGTAAGAGCTTTGATTGCGAGGGGATGTCCACAGGAAGAGGTATTATCACCTCTACTGTGGAACATGGCCCTCGTCACCGTCATCAGCCGCCTCAATAATGAGAGTCACTACACATAGCGTATGCAGATGACCTGGTCATTCTAAAGACAGTGACTTTTAAGAACATATTCTGTGAAAGAATACAAGTAGCTCTTAAAATTATATAACAGTGATGCAAGGACCATTCACTGTCTATCAATTCCAAGATGACAAAAATGTTCCTTTTCAGAAGGAAAAAGAATGAAAATGGAATTAAAACCTGCAGAACTCCTAAACACAAAACTAAACTTTTCAACAAATGTGAATTATCTAGATCTCACCTTTGACATGGAAGTCACACTTAGAAAATACTCGTAGAGTATACTTTGCGTATGAACAATGCTGCCGGACCTTGAGGTGGGCATACCTGGGGTTTCTCCTCCAGAGTAGTTGCATGAACTTACACGGCCATCATAAGACCTGTGCTAACATACGGTGCAATCGTCTAGGAACCGAAAACCCAAAAATTGATTGAATAATTCATCCTTAAACCTTAATATAAAATGGGCTGTGAGCAGTAGTGCCAATATAGTTCAAACAGAGCTCATGGGGATTCCCATAGCAGCAAAAGGAATCACTAGAAACAATATAACTGAAAGGAACATGCTCATCTATACAGATAGCAGACAAGCGTTACTCACCCTAAACAGACCACGAATTTACTCAGAGTTAGTACTAGAATGTCACGAAGTGTCCATCAACAATGTAGTCACCTTAAGATGGATCAAAGACCACGGCACTTTGAAAGGGAACAACCGTCTTGCTGATTCACTGGCCAAGAAGGCAGCCAACCAAATACTTTTTGGACCTGGTCCTTCTATTGGCCTGACAAAATCGGTAGTGACAGACATAATTAAAGAACATTCCCCTATGAAATTCAAGGAAGGATGGGATGAAACACGAAACTGTAGAGTTTCCAGAGAGCTTTTAAGTTATTTTGACTACACTACAGCAAACAAATACTTGTCTATGACTAGACAGAATCTGCGCCCGGTGACAGGCATTCTGACTGGTCATTGCCAAGTACGAAAGCATCTGCATATCATGGAATTGTCAGAATCCGCATTCTGCAGGGGGCGCGAACAAGAAGATGAGACCATCGAGCATTATTCTACGATTGCCCGACGCTCTCATTTATTAGAAGATTTGTGTTCTGCCATTATCGACTGATTTAAAAAAAGCACCTCTTGGTGACATTGTCAACTACATTAAATCTATAGGCTGGATCACGAGCCAGGAGGTGCCTATCATCTTAGGAGGTTGCACAAGGGGCGTAGTAGGCCTAAGTGCTGTGGGATAACCCATTCTCCACACGCTACAGATAACGACTCTTACTTTACTTCTAATGCTTATTTTTAATAGTGCATTAAGTTTTATTCTGCCCCTAATTTGTGGAAAAGTTTCAAGGTTAGTCGTAGATTTAAGAAAGGTAACAAAACTAATATAAAACTTTATTAAAATCTTTAAAATCCTGCATAAACATTTGGAGGATTATATTACAACCATATTATTATCCCATCAACATGGTTTTATAAAAGTCGATGACTTTTCAAAGGCGTTTGACATACTTAATCATGTCATTTCTATAAAAAACTTATCAGTTACGGCTTGTCAGAGTGTCATGAAATTGTTCTCTTCCTACGTGCAGAATCGTCAAAAGTATGTTTTCTTAAAAGTTTTCAAGTCTGTAGAGTACTCTGCAATGTCTGGCGTACCACAAGTCTCTATCCTTGGGCCTCTGCTTTTTAATATCTATATTAACGGCATCGTGGAGTGCAATGATGTAAATGTCTTTTTATATGTGGATAATTTGCAGATTTTCAATTCACTAGGAATACTTACTGTGAACGTGTACTTCATCATAGAAAATTGATGTCGCTTAAATCTTTTTCTTTTAAATTCGTCATGTTTTATAATGTAATTTTCATTAAAACCTGATCCTATTTTATTCAATTATATCTCTATAAAAACCTGATCTTCGTATAACGTTCTTTTCAAAGCTTTAATTTATATTACACATAGAGACAATTGAGGAGCTGGCGGGAAAAACGATGAGGGTAAATGCTGCAATCTATAGGTTTTTATACGTACTATTACGCCTAGTAAAGATTTTCGAGAATATTGATAATAGTCGCCACATATAGCTAAAAATATTTTAGTCAGTTGCAGGAAAAACGATGAGCGTACCTGGAGTTTCCCGTCCAAAATAGGTTCTATACAATAAAAATTGAAAAAGCTAAAGAAAAACATTTTTTGTACTGCCTACACTTTTCTAATTACTGCACTGCTATAAATACTAAGTTAAGATTATATTTGCACCTTCCAAGAGACACGCTCCAAAGTTAAAACTCTAATTTTCTCCATTTGAAAGTTTATGCACATTTATCTCGCCAATTGTATCTAATGCATCTAAAATGAATGGGTTTAAAGCACGTGTTAGTAATTAGTTTTCAGATACAGAATAGTATATTGTGTCACAAGGACAGAAAATGAGCTTTAGCAGCCCACGGCTATTAGCTGCATGAGTGAGCGAAGCGAAGCGAGGCCAGCTGATAGCTAAGGGCTGCTAAAGCGTTTTCTGCATGTGTGACACACAATTGTTTTACGCCTACAAAAAAAAAAAACAGAGAAGGAAAATATAACGAAAATCTTTAATTTTACAAATACAAAAAACTTTAGTTAAATGTACGAATTTTTTATTGTAGTAATTAATATTTTGTTTACCTTCATCATAAGATATTCAGAATTATGTGCTTCCTTAAAAAACTTAATGCATTGTTCTTGAGTCAAGGTTTTGGATATTTTGGGCAGGTGATTCCCAGAATTATGTTTTAAAAATCCTTGAACTTTATGGAAATTATCAAAATTAATATTTTCTTTGACTTTAAAAGTGCTTTTCAACATTGAAAATTTAGACCATAGTGTACCTGTATTTACAATCTTTGATCTTTCAGAAAGATAAGCAAGTACTACATTTTCAGTTAGGTTTGTTGCTTTTTTACTCTTTTTCCAGTTGTTAAACAATTCATAGTACTTTTTGTACCGTTCTCTTGACTTAGTAGATAGTAAATTTAGAGAAACATTGTTGTTTGGTGGAGTATTTGTAAATTCTTCGTCACTGTCTGAATAACTATTCATGTTCACTAAAAGACTTACACTGACGTTTAATCAAAATTTATGTGAAACGTCAAAGTACGCAAGTGACAGTCAAAGGTATCTAGATATCTAGTGAAAAACTACAAAATCGGGCTGTTATGAGTTTAGCAGCCCATGGGACGATATACGTTACTTTCGGTCATATTTTTAGGGTTAATATGATTCATTTTCACATATGGTAGGCGAAAAACTCTTAAAATGCTTTATTTATTATTCGTTCGGCCTTCCATTATCTGATGGAATCTCCATTACAATTTACAATACTTATCGGGACGAATTAGAATCAGTTCAAGTTCGATTTTTAAAATTCATCCTCTTCAACTTATCAGTATCTGCTTAACAATGTAAATGTAATATTTTTTTAGATAAGTGTATGTTTTAAGAAGCATTTTCGAGAAAATCTTCATTTTTTATTGTATACTAGTAATGCTTTGTTTTCCAGTAGAATGCAAAGAAAATATTGTTTTTTTTTATTAATATATTATTTTTGTAGGTTTTTATGGTTGTCCAAAGATGTGCGGTAAATCTTACAAACACAAGGCGTCTTTGTATAATCATATTACATTTGAATGTGGACAAGACAAGAATTTCAAATGCCCAATTGAAAATTGTAAATACAAGACGAAGAGAAAGGGCAGCATAAGGCCCCACGTTAACAAATGCCATGGGGTATTTCCAATGTAAAATAATTGGAAATTAATCGGTAAAATGGACTGTAACATGTACATAAAGAAGGTGATATTTATTTAATATATTTTATTATACTTAATGTTTATTGCTAACATTAAAAAGTATTTTAATGATTTGAAACATTTAAAAAAATAATAAATGAATAAAAAATTATTCAGTTTTTTTATATTATGTTCAACCATTTCATCAATTTTATTGTAATGAACCTTATAATATTTGAGGACAAAAAATGCAAATTAAAAGGTTTTTCATTCTTGGTGAATACAAGTATGTCCTTGCAACCAAAATTAAGAAGTTTAGAGAAGGTCTACTGTTGCAATTCCTCGAAAATATCAGATTTTTCTACTTATATATAATTTCCGGTAATCGATTGTTAATCAAATTGTTTTCTCTTTGGGATTATATATTAGATTATATACTAACACCTATTTTATTAGTTTATATTAAAATTTAAAACTACTAACATCAAAACAGATTTAAAATTGAAAACAAAGCTCTTGTTTTTAAATATATAGAAAATATTTTTAAAAAAATAATATACAATGCACGTGTCATACTACATTTATCGTCCGCCATTCGTATTTTATTTAAATTATTATTAACGAACGAATTTTAGGTGCTTTTATGTGCTACCAGTGCGGCAAAAATTTCAAATTCAAGGCGTCGCTCAAAAACCATATGGAATTCGTTTGTCAAAAGGAACCGACGTTTTCGTGTCCAGTGTGTCTGAGAAAAAGCAAATTGGTGGGGAATTTGAAAAAGCACATCATCAAGATGCATCCGAACTACGATACGAATCTATTGAAAAAATCCGTTGATGTCAAACTTAAAACGAAAGACGAGTTTAATAATATGTTTATGTAGTAGTTCAAAGAGCGACCGCAAAACTACTGTGTTTAAAATTCATTCAATCATTCTTCGTTTGGTATCCCGCACGGCCCAATACTGGGCCTTATGATAACAAATTTTAAAGTTTATGAAATATGTTGTTAAAAAAATTTATGTACATAACAAATATATCAGAACTATGTTTAGACAAACTGTTATACAGTGCTTTCGTAAATAAATTCATTTTTAACCAAAACATTCATTTGTATAAAAGGTAACGAACATATGAGTAATGACGCCAGCTATATCCTAAACGGTAAGAGATACAGTGTTGGTTAAATTAGAGAAAAGTTATACTATTTCGTTCCCATTAAGAATCTGCTTTTAAATCTAAAATCTCTACAGAGGTTTCCAAAATATTGGATAAAAACTAAAAATTGTCATTTTGGAAAATGTATGATATTGTATACATCAAATTTAACGAAAATTTAGACTTTTGTATTATGAGCTACAGCCTAATCGATTGTCGCTTCCAAACCTTCTATATTTTGAACAACCATAGCCAAGTTTGTTATTTCTTTTGGCCGCCTTACTGAATTTTTATACCATATAACATCCAACAAAACTCCAAATTCAACGATACCATACAAACCGTAAAGATGTTCCAAAGAAAAGTGAGGTTAGGTCAAAATATTATTTTTCTGTTTTCAGTTTTGCTTTTCTTATGGACCCTGTATGCCATTTATGCCATTAAATCGAACAAAAAAGGCGGCCATAAGAAATAAGAAAGTTGGGTATGGTTGCTCAAAATCTAGGAGGCCTGGAAATTTTTGGATAGAGCCATTCGATTGGGCGTAGCTCATAATATATAAGTCTAAATTTTCGTTGAATTTGCTCAAACGATGTATACAATATCGTAAGTTTTCCTAAATGACAATTTTTAGTTTTTATCCGATATTTTGGAAACCCCTGTAGATATTTTAGATTTCAAAGCAGATTCTTAATGGACATGAAATAGCGCTACGTTTTTCTAATTTAACCAAGTAGTAGATTAATTTGTTAAAATTTCAAGAACAACTTTTAGAATAAACGCTCAAAGCAGTCGAATTTTATTTTCATTTGTGAATTTTTTCAAATTAATATATACAGGATGATTCGTGTAAGAGGAATGACAGTAACCTATTTTTTTATTATAGAATGTGCAAAGGTAATTATGAATATAGGTAAAATGAAAATAAAATGGGAACGATTTTAAAATATCAAAACACTATGGAAATTATTTTTTCGAAAAAAAAAAAAAAAACTGAATTAAAGATTGTACCGTTATCTTCCTGACTATTTCACTTACCTTAGCGACCAAAATTTTGTTTTTATTACTGTCATTCTTGTTAAATAGTTTTTGTTAAGATCCAACTCAATTTTATTCGCGAAAATCACGATTTGTTTTAGGTTAGAAAATTTCGCATTATCGATTTTTCATTCGACATTTCTTTCTCCTTATGTCAAAAAATACGTAACACGATGAGTTTAATAAAACGTATGTCTCTAATGAATATGTGGCGGCAACTGACGGCAACACTGTTAGCTACTAGAGTACATACAGGTCCGGTATAAGCCATATGAATGGAAAATAACAATTAAAATGTTTTGAGTTGAATAAAATATCAAAATAACATATTTTTTTATTAAGAAACGACATTTTTAACTGCATACGACTTCAATCAAAAATAATATAGGCAAATACTCAAGTGTATACGAGTATACTAGGAAGATATAATTTTACACTTTACTTAAGTTTTTCATATTAAACCATCGGTCATTGTAATGAAACCAGCGGTAAAATATATATTTGTTTACCAAGGCTGTATTTTGGCCGGATTAGACATTTGCTAAGCGACTTCTGGTTGAGTATAGGTCTATTAGGCAAGAAACGGATGTTCAATCAAGATTGACATCGAGACAGATGTCAGATAAGCAGCTGTACTGAAGATGAACTTTACAGGGCGCAACATCAGATAGGTATAACACTTAATATTCTGAAAACCATGCATACTACATTGAATAAGAAGGACTGGTAGTATCAGAAGGAGACTGAAGTCTAAAAATAGATGAAATAGAGCTGTATAGATAGATAAATAATATTTTAGCCAGGAGAGAGTCGATGAATGTTATAAATTTGGTAAATTTATGAATGTATTGTTAATGTATAATTTTAGTTTATTTTTATTTTGGTATAAAACTATGGCTGAGATAATAAAATTCTTAAAAGTATATAAAAGTTTTCAATCTTTATTTACTATAAATTATTTTTTCATTTATTCTCCCTGGCCTAGGAAAAAGGTGTTAGAACACCCTGTCAATATTTCTAATGATACAAAAAACCACAGAGATGTGATACTTAGCCGACTAAATCCCATCGAGTTCACGCATGACGGATTGTGGTACGGAATATGGCTATCTGTGATGGCTATGCAAAATTAAATTTATTTTCTCCCACTGTTTTCGATCAACTGATACCTCAAATTCGTACAAGCCACGTCTTCGCACCACAATGTGATGTATCAATCTGCTTAGTCTCATACCTTTTTTTTAAGTATTAAGGATATTCCTTGGTGTGGCTGATTATCATGTTTCAATTAAGTCATTGAATCTAAAAAATCTGATGTGTCCAACACATGACTTTCCTATCTAGTTATAGGCTTTTTCCGGTTATTTTGTACAACCTATTGTAGCATATCTATAAATGTTTAGAGGATAAACTAAATATATACATTGTCCACATACATCTACCTCGAAACATTTTCCTATAGATATTAATTGAAAACGAAAATACTGAAAAATTTAAATTTCCTACAATTTGTTCATTACGGTCCATTTTAGAAAAATCATGTATTAACAAAAATTATAGAGATCGATATCGCAAACAACTTTTAATCAGAATTTTGCACATTTTGTCAAATTTCTCAAATACGGACCATTTCAAGAAATTTTGACATGCAGCAGAAATTATAGATAATAATATTAGAAGTAACTTTTATTTGAAGAATTTTTTTCTCCAAACATAAAGAACAGATATATTCAATAAAATATAAAAACGGCCTCCCATAAAGTACCCCCCAGATGTTCCGACTTTGTCCAAAATCTAATCTTTTCACGTCAGGCCGAAATAAAACTTAAGTTTGAAATTTAATGTTTTTTCTTTATCCGTTTTTGAGTTTTCTTCAAATTTCTAAATTTACACATTTTCTCAAATATCTGGAATACGGTCCATTTTAGAGAAATTATGTATGGAATAAAAATTATAGAGAATAATATTACAAACAACTTTTATTTAAACAATATTTATAAAAAAAATATTTTTTTACATTTTGTCAAATTTCTCGAATACGGACCATTTTAGGAAAATTTTGTATAAAACAAAAATTATTGATAATAATATAAGAAGTAACTTTTATTTGAAGAATTTTCTATCCCTAATTATTGAATGAAAACCAAAACCAATTTTATCAAATTTTACTGAATACAATAATCGTTACAACTTAACCAACAACCATTTTCTAACTATCTTTTTTATCTAACGACTGCATATTAACGAGTGGCGTCGAATCTCCTAAAATTTTCACCGATTCCTTTAAAGGGATATCAACTACAAATTTTCCATCAGAACCCCGTGAAGTAGTTTTCACAAATATTTTTTCGCATTCCCTCTTCTCCAGAGAAAAATGTCCCTGTGTACCAACCTCTTCTAAGTCCCAAAATTTCTCCAACTGACTTTAAAGTTCTTTTAGACTAATATGCATACTTTTTAGATTATTTTGTCCACCTTGTGCCCCCGACCACAAAGAACCTGTCACCAAGCACCCCACCCTGTTTTTCTGTAATGTCGGTTGACCATCACACAACTTAATTAGTCCAACACATAATAATCCAAAGAAAACATCTGCACCTAATAAAAGGTCAACCTTTTGAGGTTGATTAAAACTAGGATTAGCCAACTGTATGTTTTTTGAAATATTTAAGTGTAACGTCTTTAATCTACTAAAAGGATTTAAACCACCTATTTCTGGTACTACCAAACAAGGGATAAGAGCGCATGTCGACCAAATTCCTTTCACCAACATTAGAGGAATGATTCCCAATACCTTTTTTCTGTAGATGTAATTTTGTTACCAACTCATCTGCAATAAGGTTAGGTTGAGAATCATTATCTAGTTATACTCGACAGGTAAAGGTCTTTCCCCTAACATCCATCACATGGACCAACGCAGTCGAAAACAGTACCTCACCAGCTATTTCTTTCTCACTATCTAAGAAACTAATCACAGCTATTTAATGTGTAATATTTTGTGTTAAAAATGAAAATAGTTTACAAAATAGCTTGGTTTTTTTAATCGGTGTGAGAAGCTCTCAATTTGGTAAGCAGAAAATTGCTTCTTGCGGTTTGTTGACAAAAACAAGAAATAGAGACGAGCATCAGCATCCTCGTTCCTTACAGTTTGATCAATCATTCGTTTATTCCGTGTTTCGAGAATCACGTGTGATCTTCTAGTGGATTTTAGAGGTAGTCGTGTTTAGGAAGAAAGGCTGACGTAATCAGTTTTCTAATTTTGAAATAAGGCGATAACTCCAGAGATGGCTCGAGGCAAAATAAATTAAATGGAATAAAGAGCAAAATGTTGAGGTGTCTCAGCATACCTGTTTGGAGAATTTACTTAAAAATAAATATTTCGTCTAAAATGACGCCTTTACGAAGACACTGTATAAACTTTTTTTCTTTGGCCCCTTTATCATCAATGTATATTTTGATACTTTTTTTTAAATAAACTTTGTTCTTTGATTCTAGTGGCACAGTAATTTTACGGTCATCACTTTGACTACAAATACTCCCTTTTTTATGTATTTTACATTTTCGAATTAAAATTATTTTATATACTCATTTACACAAATAGAAATTTATAAAAATGTACCTGTTTAATTCTAATTTTCGAATAAAACACTAACAAATGGTTAAATCATACGGTTAAAATTAATAAATTTATAATTTCGGTTTTGTACTGTTTATTTTTAATTTCAGTTATTTTCAATTGCGCAAATTGTGGAAACATTTACAAATCAAGAAAAAGCCTGAAACTGCATCTAAAACACTATTGCGGAAAATCACCTTCGATGGTTTGCTCTTCGTGCGATTATCGAACTTATTACAAGGGAAATCTAAAAAATCATATTCAGAAACACCACTTCAATCAAGATAGGGCCTCAATCAAGATAGAGCCTCAATCAAGATGGCACAATTCATAATTATGGAGTGATTCGCTAAAAATTGTTCTAAACTAGGCCATGGAGTGTATAATTCTTCGTTTTTAAATATCAGTTTTGACTTAAAACGAAGCTTACTTTAGAAAAAAAGTTTGTGGATCACGCCTTGCTAAAAATTAGTCTAAAAAAGAAGTTTTTGATATCAAGTTTTGATTAAGGTGTTATTATAGTTAATGCTGGAAAAAATAAGAAGAAAAGAAAAAGTACAAAAGAAGAACAATTTGTCTTAAACCTACATAACATAACTTTGGGATCAACGTTACCTATTTAAAAATTGACATATTTTTAAAAGACTGTTTGTATGGATATTACCAGTTATTGTCCAAGACAATATCAATAATAATTATAAACCAATATTAACATTAAACAGTTATAAGTTAAATAGTATCATCCTGTGTTTTCCTTAAAAAATCGTACATTTCAGACTTGATTCTGGGTCGGTGATTTTTCGTTATAAATTATTTCGTTTTACGAATTTTTATGTGGCCATTTGAGCTTTCCACTGCTGCCAGATGATGCTCCTTAGTTGCCAAATCAAAGGGTTGGTCTTTGTTGAGACACTCTGAGGATGGACCAAGTTGAATAGCAGAGGGTGCTGACCACATTAACAAAAAAAAAAAATCCAGGATGATCATCACTCAGGGCAACTGGTTTAAAAGTGACTAAGTTAATGCACATTTAAGTATGTTGCTCTATTTTAATTGGTAATCGGTAATCGGAAACTTTTATGTTTGTACCTCATACCAAAATTATCTAAATAACTAATTCCATATGACTGTGCAGTCCTTCGAGGACCATAGCGTCAATTCTGATTTGCGGACAATAATATATAGTGTGTTCCATTAGTGCGTAATTGTTCAATATTTCAATTTGTGTTATTGGCACGCAAATAAGTTTTAAATAAAAGTTATATGGATTTAAAAAAAATACGTATTTTAAAAATATTTTTGGTTATACAGGGTGTTTCGTTTGTGTCTGGCAAATAAAAATTTATATTTTTTTAAATAAAACACCCTGTATTTTATTTCAATTTTTAGAATGATTTGGTAATACTGTATTCAACGCTATTATTTTTTAAATATTACAGGGTTGCTAAGCAATTAATTTTTTATGAAATTAGAGAATGATGCAGACCCCCAATTCAATTATCATAATTTAGGTAGGTTTAAAATGATTTAAATTTTTTTCAAAATACAGACTTATAAGATTCTAAGCCAACGAATAGTGGTGATAAAACTGCTTTATTTTATGCAGAGTAACTTGAAACATGTCTTAAATATAATAAATAATTTGAAGTTCAATTTACTCATTTTTTTCAAATACAACGCCATGTATAAATTTACCTATCTAATGATACCAACATGTTAGTCAATAACACATATACAGGGTGTCCCATCAGTGCATAATTGATCGATAGCTGTTTTATTATTGGAAATACGAAAAAAAAATTAATATAAGTTCTAGTACCATGTTTAATAAATATTCTTAAATTTAGACAGTTGTCCATAAACATTTTTAAAGCAGGTAGTCATACATATTTGAATATTTTCACATCTTTAAACAATTTTAATAGACTTCATTTATTTACTATGTTGTATATATAGGGTGTGTCAAAATGCGGGGTAACGATTTTCTCAATGTTTTAAATGGAATACCCTATATGTTATATCACTAATTAATTAATACAGGATATTCCATTTAAAAAATTAAGAAAAAATCGTAACCTCACGTTTTGACACACCCTATATACAACATAGCAAATGATAAAAGTCAATTAAAATTGTTGGACAATGTGAAAACAATTAAAAATGTATAACTATATGTAGGGTGTGTTGCTTTAAAAAAGTATAGAATTGGTCAATACCTCGTTTATGGACCACCCTGTATATTTAAGAATAATTGTTAAATATGGCCATACAACTTTTATATTAAAAATTGATCAATTACGCACTGATGGGACACCCTGTATATGTGTCAGTGGCTAACATATTGGTATCGTTGTATAGAAAAATTTATAAACAATTTTATGCTAAGATAATTTACAGGGTGTTGCATTTGAAAAAATTAATAAATTAAATTTAAAATTATTTAAGACATGTTTCAAAAATCTATATAAAATAAACCCAGTTCTATCACCACTATTCTTTAGCTTAGTATCTTATAAGTCTGTATATTAAACAATTTTGAAATCAATGTAAACCTACGTAAATTATGATAATTTAATTTGTGGTCTGCATCATTCTCTAATTTCAAAAAAAAAAAAATGCTCGGTAACACTAATATTTTTTAAAAAAATTGTAGGGCTGAATACAGTATTATCAAACCATTCTAAAAATAAAATAATATACAGGGTGTTCTATTTAAAAAACAGATTTTTATTTGCTTGGCAAAATGGAACACCCTGTATATCCAAAATTTTTTTTAAAATATGTATTTTTCACATTCATATAACTTTTATTTAAAGCTTGTTGTGTATTCATAACACAAGTTAAAATATTTTTTCTTGTAAATTCTATATCAAAATTGTCCTTTAGCCGTTCATATTGCAGGACCTCGTTCTGCTCTTCCTGCAAATATTCACTCGTTACATGAAATAAATCATTTCACAACTGGTTTCATAAATATTTAGTTTCTAACTTTGACACAAAGTGACAAAAGAAAACAAATAAACATCAACCTTTTTGGTTTTTAAAATCAATATATTGTAATGGTTCCACCCTGTATAAGGTAGACCTATTACAAAATTATCTGAGCACTAAGGGTTGTGGCTTCAATGGATTTTTACAATAATTTTAAAGAAATTAATGCCTAATATAAAATTTTGAATTTAAATAAAATATAAAAAATAACTCGGTCCTTTTCCTTCTTCTATTAATCTCTTTTACATACTTTAATTTCTCTACATCCTATGTTCCTTCCTGTTATTACAACTACTGCATTTTTGACCTCCTGTTTTACTTCTTTAACTGCCTGATCTCTGCTACCTTCACCAACTCCTGTTTTTCTTTTCTATATTTTTAAATAAAACCATATTTACCTCTTATTCTTATAATCAATCAACTTTATTTATTTTAATTTCCGTTTATTCAATACAACTTTCCACTTTAAAACATTTACTATTTCTCAAATTACATTTTTTTACCATTTTCAAAACCTCTGACATTTTCCTCTCTGACAATCCAATAATTTTTAATGAACATTTTACAAAAAAAAAATAATTGGTCACCATTGACGTCAGATACCCTAAGCCCTTTACGAATAACTAACTGCCTTACGCAACCAGTTGCGTAATGTTAAACATTATGAAACTGGTTTCGAAAAACTTATTGTGACACCAGTTGCGAAAAGAAAAGAAATAAAAACAAACTTTTTTTTGGTTTTAAAATCAATAATATACAGGGTGTTTCTAAATTCATGCGACAAAATTCAGGAGGTGATTGCTCGTACGAAATTAAGATGGGTCTTTCCTATAACAAAATTTCCTGAGCCCACGCCTTCCGAGATATCACCCCTAAAAGGTGGTGACTAAAATTGAGTTTTTATTTTTTTTTCTAAAATTTCAGTAAAGCTAGAAACTGAAAATTCTGTTATTTTTTTGCACTCGCAAAGAACTAACCATGGGTATTTTTTCAATATTCCTGTTACATTATAGGGGGGTAAAATTAACAACCCTTGCTTTATTTCATATTAAAACTTTTTTTTTTTGAGATGAAGTTTTATGAAATAAAATTATAACTTGAAATCCTTGTTTTATTAAAAAAAAATTTTGATTCTTAATTTTTTTCCCAAATTCAATAGCTTCAGAGAAAAAATAAACACCATATTTTATAAAATTTGATACGATTCATAATATTGAAAGAATATCCGAGGTTAGTCCTGTGGGAGTGGACGAAACTTACAAAATTTCAAGTTTCTAGCCTTACTGAAATTTAAAAAAAAAAAATAAAACTCAATTTTAGTCACCACCTTTTAAGGGTGATATCTCGGAAAGGGGTGGGCTGAGGAAATTTTGTTATAGGAAATACCCATCTTAATTCTATACGAGCAATCATCTCTTGAATTTTGTCGCATGAATTTAAAAACACCCTGTATATGCAAGCTTATATAAAAAAAGGGCAGGTTGGCGTATAAAAATAAAATTTATTTAAACTTACAATCTAGTAATAATGTTGTTTTGGTTCTTATTTTCCATTATAAATAAGCACAAAATAATTAAAACACAATACACGACAAAATAACCTACTATTTTAAAAACTAAATTACTTTAATAAGCTATATAAACACACTAACTGGTAGTTGAGAATAAATAATTAATATGATGTTCTATTTGTCAATAAAATGATGCATATGCAACTAATAATACAAGAAAGTAATATTGGTTGCCTAGATGTCAGTAATGTTTTACTTAATTAAGTGGTTAGAAAGTTACTTGCTTGACAGATCTCAAATTGTACGTATTAAGAATTTTCATTCATATGATATCAGGGTTTCATCTGGAGTCCCACAGGGTTCCCATTTGGGTCCACTTTTATTTAACTTGTTTGTAAATGATTTATATGACAACATTAAGT